AACCATCAGATCTTGTAAGACTTATTCACTACCATGAGAACAGTATGTGGGAAATCACCCTTATAATTCAATTATCTCCCACCAGGTCCCTCCCACAACACGTGGGAATTACAGAAGTACAATTCAGGTGAGATTTGGGTGGGGACATAGAGCCAAATTGTATCCGCCCTTAATTATCCTAAGCAAATTAACACAGGAACAGAAAAGCAAATACCACGTTTTTACTTATAAGCGGGAGCTAAGCATTGGATACACATAGACATAAAGATGGAGACAGACACCAGGGACAGACACTAGAGCAGGGAGGGAAAGAGGTGGGTAAGGGCTGAAAAACTACCTATTGGGTACTATGCTCACTACCTGGATGACGGAATCATTCATACCCCAAACCTCAGCATCACACAATATACCTATGTAATAAATTTGCACATGTACTCCCTGATCTAAAATAAAAGTTGAAATTATTAAAAAAGAAAGAAAATAACAGAAACCATTCTTGTATGAGCTGAGTGATAGAAAAGTATTTTTTGTATTTTTATTCTTTTTTAATTTACTTTTTTCAAGTTTCTGAATTGATCAGTTTTCCTTTATAATGGTGGGGAGGGTCAGTAGATGTGGAGGTAATAAGTGATATTTGCTTTTTAAAAAGTGAATTATCTCTGTGTTGAATTTCTTGATTAGTGGATCCAATTCATCCACAAATCATCCCTTCTCTGTTGCCATCTTCCAGTTAGCCAGCTAGGAATAACCATGTGATTCAGGTTCAGGTCAATGAAACAAGACAAGAAAACTTCCAGGTGAGCTTTTGAGAAAGCTTTTGCCTTCCTGACATAAAGGGATATATTCAGTGGCCACATCCCTTCACATGTTTAACAGCTTTCTTGAAATATAATTAACATATCATACAGTTTGCCCATTTAAAGTACACAAATAAATGGTTTTTAGTATATTCAGTTATACCACTATAACCACAACTAATTTTAAAATATTTTTATCAACCCAAAAAGAAAGTCTATGTCCATTAGCAGTCATTTCCCATACCCTCTTAATCCCCACTTCAGCCTTGGGCAACCATTAATCTACTTTCTGTCTCTAGATTTGTCTATTGTGGACATTTCAAATAAATGGAATCATGCAATATGTGATATTTTGTCACCATCCTTTTTCACTTTGCATAATGTCTTCAGGGATCATTCATACATACAGGCATGTAGCAGTATTTTATTCCTTCTTATGATCTAATAATATTTTATCATTTAAATACTATCTATTCATCAGTTGATAAACATTTGGGTTTTCTTTTCACTTTTTGACTCTTAACGCATGCTGATGCTATGAACATTTGTGAATAAATCCAATTCACAAACACGAATTGGTCTGTGTTTGTATGAATGGATGTTTTCATTTCTCTTTCTCTTGGATACATTCCTAGGAGTGAATTGCTGAATAAACTCTTTGTTTAACTTTTTAAAGAATTTCCAGACTCTTTTCCAAAGCATCCATATCCTTTTCATTCCTACCAATAATGTATGAATACCTTCACATTTTGCCCTTCCCTTTTCCTTTTTGCAAATACACAATCCTGATGCCTGAAAGTAGAGTACCCAGCTTAAAACTAAGAGGCACAAACATGAACATGCTAATGATAGCAGAGAAGAACGACCCAGTCTAGATTTCTACTTACCTCTAGACTTCCTATTATGTGGGAGGAAAAGCTCCTACTTGATTAAGCTATTTTAAGTGGGGTCATCCAATAATTATAAAGAAAGCAAAAATCTTCCAAACATACAATGTCATTCTATTCAGAGAATAAACTTCTCCTTGATCTTTATATACTAATTTATAACAAAACCATCTTTTTAAACCTTGAAATTGTAAGAAAAACCCAATATATTTTCATTTGACCTATTCTTATTTTTTATAGAATTTCTTTATTATTCTGTTAATGTAATAAATATTAATAATGACCAACATATGAAATAAGCAAAGTAAGCAAACCAGTAATCAAAGACTCTTCTAAGCACTTTAAAAATGTATTAATTTAGTCTTCTAAGTAACTCTATGAGATAGGTAAAACTACTTTTCCCATTCTATATATAAAGAAATTGATGCACACAGGATTTAAATTACTTGTCCAAGGTCACACAGCTAATGTCAGACCAGTATTCAAAGTCAGGCAGAATTCCTGCTTAAACCTAAAGTATTGCCTCCTCTGTAGAGCACCTTAGCAATTTTAGGATAGAAGATTAATAATTAGTGCCTGAAAATGAATAAAGGGGAATGTGTGTATGCACATGTGTGCATATGTGCTCATTTATCTTACACTCTACTTTCACAGTGAGATGAGTAATAAGGGGACAACTATTTTTTTAGCACCCACCAAATGTCAAGTATTATACACAATGCTCAACAAGTATTATCTCACTAAATCCTCGTAAAAGCCAGGAAGAAGATAATAGCTTCATTTATAGGCAAAGAATCTGAGACCCAGTAAAGTTAAATAACTCGCCCAATTTTACACAACTGATAGCTAGCAGATTTGGATACAAAATTAAATCTGCTTGTTCAAAGCTAATGCTCTCACTACCATACAATAATGTTTACCTGTTTAGATTATTCATACACAAAATTAGAAACTCCACATAATATATAAGCTCTTATGACTTTATATTTATTACTCTCATTATTATCTCTTCATAACTACTCATATACTTTAACTTTCTGAAAATTTGTTCCTATCCTTTCTGCCAAAATACCTGAAACTTCTAAGACTAAAATATAATTTAAAATGAAAACACATGTCCCTGGAAAAATTTTGTGTAAACAAACCCCTCATCATATTTGAAGAAATTATTCTAAAAGCTCAGATGGTCAAGTTATCTCCAGAGAAGGTCCGCACTGATAATTTTTGTGTTAGTCCAGTAATATTCCACTATCTACCTGCCTGGACCAAATTCCTTCCAATATTCTTCATGACTGTGATACGTCAATAATTCTCTCCTTTTAATTAGCAGTCACTTACTCTTCTCAAAGTAGTGTTTCTTCCATCCAAGTACTAACTAGGCCCGACCCTGCCTAGCTTTGGAGATCAGACAACATCACGCACATTCAGGGTGGTGTAGCCGTAGACTCAAAGTAGTTTTTCTTAGCCAACAAACATTTAAAACTTTCCCTAAAAAAAGTTCCTGAACTCGCTATTTCCTCTAACTGTTAAAGGAAAAGCCAAGTCTAATGTGAAAGGCATCTCTACTCCAAGATGCAGGCAAGCACATAAAGGCACCACCTTCTACTTGATAAATCTTACCTATCCATATCTTTATCTGGGTCTTAATTATCGTGTTCACATTTTAACATTAAAAATGTTGTAAGGGGATACTTTTGGAATGTGCTCAGAGGAAATTACTGGCTGGTTTTATAAAACCTCCGTAATTTTACCCCATGCCAATGATACATCTTTCTTCCAACATGAATAAGAAAATTATTCTTTATTAATCATCATCTACAAGCCAGGTCTGCTAGGCAGGAATTTTCATTCTCATCTCTTTAATGTCTGTTCTTCCCATTCTATGTTTATTCTTACCTCTGCATCTCTGCTTAGCCATGTCTATCATCTGAATGCCATCTCTCCTCTCTAACTTACCATCATTCTAAGCCTAGCTAACTAACCAGTTCCTCCCTGAAGCCTTCCCTATACTCATAAGCCCACACTGAGCAGCATCTTCTGTAGATTCTTGTAACATTTAAAGCCTGTATCTCTTTATCTCAGCCTTAATTAGATTTGCCCGAAGTCACTCATGAGTTGTCATTCTTGATCTCTAACCATTGTGTATACCTTCTATAGCATGAGACCAATTCCCATATTTTTAATTTATCTCCTAGAATATATATAACACAGTGATAAGAAAAAATATACTAAATAAATAACATAAACAAGATTATAGCTTAAGAAACCAATCTACCTTTAAGTGTCATACTTACAAAGAATATCACTAACATAAATCACCTGTTTCTTAAACCAAATCTTAAAACTATTTCTAAGCTCTTTAAAGAACATTCAGTTTTGCTCTGAAGTTATAATACCAAATTCTTAAAATACATTTAGCTTACACTTTTATTTCTGACTCCAAACCCAGTATCTTGAGGTTTTGCCAATACATTAAATATTGCTTACCAACATCAGTGGCCACAACTTAAAATAATCTTTAAGTTATAAGTTTCCTACCACAAAGGTCTAGGTTTAGATATTTGAAATCACAATGAATGATCTATATTTGCACAGTGAAATTGTCTAAGAATTAAATTCCAAATTATAATTATATTTAGGCTTATATTTAATTCAGGCAAATCTTAACAAGTCCATTATACAATTTTAACTAGTAATGCATCTGAAATGACCATAATTAGTCCAATTAGTTTTCACTGAACCTGTCAGACAAAAATAGCATGCAACTTGAATCATTTAAAAAAAAAAAAAAACCTTGCATTTTAAACCTTTGTAAATCACTAGTGGTTCCACAGCAGGTGGAAAGGAGCAAACTATCCAAATTAACTCTATCTAAAATAAACAAGAAAAAGTATAAAAAAAAAATCTATCACAAAACGAGAGGAAAATTTTCTTCTACTGGCTCTCTTATTACTCAAGCTTATTACAGCCAGAAGTAGAAGTGAAACAAGGCCAAAATATATGAAAGAACACTGCTACTATTACTTAAGAAGAAGCTAATGATGAGCTTTCCATAGGAAAAAAACAGATATAAAGGAAAAAAAAATGAGGTGGATACATTCACCAAGAAATGTCATTTCCCCATAAATAAAGACAACATTTATATTAATTTACTACATCATTAAGTATAGATTTAATCTCTCTGTGACTAAATAAAATAAAAATAAAAACAAATATATTTTCTTCCTATATGGTTTGTTAGAATTTGTACCATAAAGAATTTCTGGACATTTGTTCTTAAATGTATTTTGCAAGAACATAAAAGAAGGAACCATACCTGTTTTACCAATGACTTCTTGCAATTCAGCCATAGAGCTGATTATTGCAGCAAGAAGGTCAGAACTGGTGAGCCAACTGAGTGCTTGTAAACAACGCAACTGCTCCTTTTGATGTTCTATAAAATTGAAAAAATCCATTATAATATTCTACAAAACTTTATTAAAATCTATATTTAAAATTCATAGCAGTGTTCAGCTCTTTAAGGAACAGATCAAACCCTATTGTGAACATTGCCTAATGTGGAAAAATCTATTAAGAAATTTTAGATTAGCTTGACCTAATTTACAAATAACTGTAAATGACATCAAAAACTAAAACAGAAAAAAAAATTTCTTTAGTTTTACTTATATTACTTAATAGTCTGCTTTTTTTTTTTTTTTTTTTTGAGATGGAGTTTCGCTCTTGTTACCCAGGCTGGAGTGCAATGGCGTGATCTCGGCTCACTGCAACCTCCGCCTCCTGAGTTCAGGCAATTCTCCTGCCTCAGCCTCCTGAGTAGCTGGGATTACAGGCACACGCCACCGTGCCCAGCTAATTTTTTGTATTTTTAGTAGAGACGGGGTTTCACCACGTTGACCAGGATGGTCTCGATCTCTTGACCTCATGATCCACCCGCCTCGGCCTCCCAAAGTGCTGGGATTACAGGTGTGAGCCACCGCGCCCAGCAATAGTCTGCTTTTTAAAAATTAAAAATTAAATTATTTCTTCAAAATAGTCAAGTATTCAAAAAATAGCTGGAAAATATATATTTGTCTCATTTTCATGATTCTTCAATATATTTTTAACCCATTTCATACTTATTCATAGAAATGGAAAATAAATTATACTGATAATTTGAAGTAGGGTAGTTTTTGATTGACATAATTGAAAAATCACTGCATAAACTCTTCACTGCAGAGGATTCAAATATAAAACTAGAAAAAGTTGAAATCATATATATTTGCCACCTTATATTTTAATCTGTTTAAAACAAACAACCAAGGCCTAATTTATACAAAAATAGTCACTTATCTATCTACATATATACATACATGTGGGAACTATGCTATATTATCTGGCATATTACCTGATTTTTTTAAAGTTTTTCCATAGTAGCCAGGTATAGCCACACTGTACTTTACTTACATGCAACTTATATTTTTAAAAGCACAAATTATCTTACTTGGAAATTTATGCTTGTCTTTGGGCTCTCCTGAACATACTAACATGCCTATGCCTTCTTTGAAACTCTCCATCCAGGTAAATAGAGAGGCACATGATTGGCCCAAAATCTTGAGTCTGTTTGCTGCCAAAATTGCAATAACACCTTTCCGGAATATACGTATCAATCCTTTGAATGTTTTTTTTTTCATCTTGGCTTCCTCTTGCTTCTTTTCCTCTACAGTTGACAAAGCCTGGGCTAGAGTTCTAATTTCCAATTTGAACAATTCAAAGGTCTTGACCTGCTCCTGGAGAAAATCTCTCTGTGTAGATAAGGCACATGATCGGCTATAGAGGGGATATAAGGCACCAGCCATCAATGCACAGGCTGCCAGCAAGGATGTCTGTTCCCTTTGAGTCTGTGATAACAGTTTTTTGAAGTGCGAATTTTCAAGAACCAACTGTTCATGCGACTTCTCAATATGGTTCAATTTTTCCATATTTTTTTCAGCAATTTCTTGAAATGTCTATGAAAGAAGTCAAACAATATGTTTGATCAGGAAACAAACAGGCATTATATTAATTTCCCTTTACACGAAGAAAACAAACTTTGCTGACAACCATTTCTTCTTCAAAAGATACATGTGCTAAGATATCCAAAATATACATAAGTCGCATACGAAAACAGTGAGCCAAACCGCTTAGATCTGAATGTGCACAATGATTTTTTTTCTTTCTTTTTTTTTATTATTGTACTTTAGGTTCTGGGGTACATGTGCAGATCATGCAGTATTGTTGCATAGGTACATACATGGCAACTTGGTTTGCTGCCTCCATCCCCCATCACCAATATCTGGCATTTCTCCCCATGTTATCCCTCCCGAACCTCCCCACCCACTGCTGTCCCTCCCCTAGCCCACCCAACAGGCCCCAGTGTGTGATGCTCCCCTCCCTGTGTCCATGTGTTCTCACTGTTCAACACCCACCTATGAGTGAGAACATGTAGTGTTTGATTTTCTATTCTTGTGTCAGTTTGCTGAGAATGATGGTTTCCAGATTCATCCATGTCCCTACAAAGGACACAAACTCATCATGTTTTATGGCTGCATAGTATTCCATGGTGTATATGTGCCACATTTTCCTTATCCAGTCTATCATTGATGGGCATTTGGGTTGGTTCCAGGTCTTTGCTATTGTAAACAATGACGAAATAAACATACATGTGCATATGTCTTTATAATAGAATGATTTATAATCCTTTGGGTATATACCCAGTAATGGGATTGCTGGGTCAAATGATATTTCTATTTCTAGGTCCTTGAGGAATCGCCACACTGTCTTCCACAATGGTTTTTAAATCCTCTTACATAGAAGCTTTATGTAAAGCAGAACACATAAATTTAGGAGTATTTCATAAAGTTCCTATATACTTATACAAAAATACACAAGTTTAGAAAAGAAAAATATGCTTTCTCTGTGTAATTTCTCTTCTTCCCCTCCTCATTAACTCTTCATTCCTATTTTTAAACAGAAATGACACTGCCAATAGAGGATTTCCTAGATGTAAAAAAGACTTTACTTTTTACCAAAATAAGCAACCGGTTCAGTCAATGATATAACAAATAGCACAGTCTACCATTTAATGCATGAGAAGGCACTGTCTCTCAAGGATACCTTGTTACTTCAGTTTCTGTCTTAACTCCCCAAGACAGAAAGCTGTACACAGCACATCTTCAGTGGTGAGAGGAAATTCTAGTAGTGATAGTACTGGGCCTCAGTAGCCCTCTGTTCCTTTTTGCCTAATCAATGTGCTTACAATCTAAAACTTAATTTGGAATAAAAAGAAATTTAACTGTAGGAATCATAATTAATCACTAGAAAATAAACTGACTCTCTATGAAGTCTGAACCTAATCAGTAAGGAATCTTGAGAGAAAGAGTAAAATTAAGAAGGGCCAGGCACAGTGGCTGACACCTGTAATCCCAGTGCTTTGGGAGGCTGAGGTGAGAGGATTGCTTGAGCTCAAGAGTTTGAGATCAGCCTGGGCAACAGAGCAAGACCCCATCTCTACAAAAAAAAAAAAAAAGGTAAAAAAATTAGGAATGGTGGCACACACCTATAGTTCCAGCTACTTGGGAAGCTACAGTCAGAGGATCAATTGAGTCCAAGAAGTTGAGGCAGCAGTGAGCCAGGGTAATGGAGGAGGGGGAGGAGGAAGAAAAAAAGGAGGAGGAGGAAGAAGAAGAGAAACAGGAGGAAAAATAAGAGGAAGAGGAGGAAGAAGAGGAAGAGGAGAAAGAAGAGGAAGAGGAGGAAGAAGAGGAGGAGGAAAAAGAAGAGAAAAAGAAGGAGGGGGAGGAAGACAAAAAGGAGGAGAAGGAGGAAAGAAGAAAGAAAAAGAAAGATTCCAATTTCCTGTACTATTCACTTATTCAACAAACATTTACTGGAGCCAGGCATGAGGGCTCACACCTGTAATCCCAGCAGTTTTGGAGGCTAAGGTGAGAGGATTGCTGGAGGCCAGGAGTTCAGAACCATCCCGGGCAACACAGTAAGATCCTATCTCTACAAAAAAATTGAAAAACATCAGCCAAGTAGGGTGGTATGTGTACAGTTCTAGCTACTCAAGAGGGTGGCGGTTTCAGGATCTCTTTAGTCCAGAAATTTGAGACCAACTTAGGTGACAGTGCAAGACCCTGTCTCCATTAAAAAAAAAAAGTGTTGATTGATTACTCACTAAATTCCATGTACTAGGAAGACAGACAAGTAAATCAACTAGTATGATATAATGCTATAATAGAGATATTCCAGATATTCCAGAATCACAATAGCCAAAAGGTAGGAGTACAAAAGGGCACTTAAACAAACTGTGGCAGCCATATTCTATCAATGGAACTATGTCCCAGAACTCCACACGGAGACCACTACTAAAGCAAGTGATGTCCCACAGGATTGCTAAAAGCAGCAAGAAACTCTGAGAAGCAGCAGCTATGCAGACTACTCGCAAAAGGATGTGTGATAACCCTCTTAAACTAGGCAAACTTTAAGGAAAAAGAAAACTGACACTTGGCTTGTGGCTAAATTAAAGCAGGAAGACTAGCACGTAAAAAGGAAGAGCTAGAAAGCACCACAGTATGCTCTAAGGATGCAAATAATTCAGAATACCTGAAGAACTGAGGGAAATTATGGAAATTTGAAAAGTACACAGAAAACAGATGACCGAGTACCTTATGTGCTACACTAAGAAACTTAACTTTATCTGGAGAAGTATGAGAAGCCATAAAAATCCTAGAACTGTCCCTACTGTTAGTAAAGGGATATGAGAATCAGAAACATAATAAAGATGGCCAGGGTAGCAGTAGGGTTGCAGCAGCTGGGAGTAGGATGAGGAGAACAAATGGAAATCACAAAGGTTAATTCCATATTCTCTTCAAAATCAATTTCATTTGTTCAATTAGAGAAAGAAAGGAAAACTATAGAAAACCTAGAAAATACAAGAGGCAAACTAGCAATACTTAGATAAGTGAAAATAAAAGTGAACCTGAGTGTCTCAGGCAGAAGTGTTTTCAACAAAAATTACACATAAAATTACAATAAAAATGGTGCATGTAGATACAGGCAGAGGAAGAGATACTGTAGCCTAAAGTCAGTAGCTTAATAATGGGAAAAAACCCAAAGCATTCTTACCAAGTTCCAGAGCAAGGGAAGAATATCCACTATCTCCACTAGTATTTAACACTGTATTGTTTGCAGCCACATTATTCACAGTAGCCAAAAGGTAGGATAAAACACAAATGCCTATCAGGGGATGAATGACTAAACAAAATCTGGTATATCACAACATTTTGTTTATTATTAACAACAGAATATTATTCAACCATAAAAAGTAATGACGTACTAATATATGGTACAACATAAATAAACCTTGAAAAAATATGCTAAGAGAAAGAAACCAGACATACAAGGACACATTTGTATGACTCCATTTATACAAAATACACATACCAGGAAAATTTATAAACACAGAAAACACATTTTCGGTCACCAGGGGCTGAGGAAAAGAAGAAACAAAGAGTGACTACTTAATGGGTTATGGGTTTCTGTTCAGGAGCTAAATAGTGGTGATGGTTCTACAATACTATGAACATACTCAATGCCACTCAATTGTATACTTTAAAAGGATCAAGGAGAACGATCCAAGATGGCCAATAGCTAACAACCCGGGATTGCAGCTCTCAGGGAAGGCGCAGAGAACTAGAGGAGACAAATTCTGGTCACTCACGGAGCAGAAGATCCCCCAGTGGAGGAAACACACGGGTGGCCAGCGCGACTCTCAAAGCTGGCGCAGCGGTTCTGCCGGCACCTTGGCACGGCAGCTCTTGGAGCAGAGTAAACAGGTTCGGAGGACCCGCACGGGTCCCCAGCAGGACAGCAGAGCCCAGCGCAGCAGCTGTGATGGCACCTCGGCGCAGCAGCGCTTGGCGCAGAGTAAACGGGACCGGTTCCCCTTCTGACCGAGGTTTGGAGCCCCAGGAAGGCAGAGTCGCCTACTACGGACACAAGAAGGAAGCCAGACAGGAGAATCCTGGGCAGAAAAGCACCATCAGTTTTAACGCCGCTGCCCTGGCCCTGGGAACTAACAACCTGGACATCCACTCAAGAGACCTAATCTGAAACTTGGTAATTTCAAAGACGACAGGAGGATAAATTTACAATGACGGGAAGAAACCAGCGTAAAAAAGCTGAGAATACTCAAAGTCAGAACGCCTCTCCCTCTAAAGATGATCACAGTTCCACATCGACAATGGAACAAGGCTTGATGGAGAACGAGCGCATCCTGATGACAGAATCACTCTTCAAGGAATGGATAATAACAAACTTTGGTGAGTTAAAAGAACATGTTGTAGCCCAACGTAAAGAAACTAGGAACTTTGAAAAAAAGTTTGATGAAATCCTATTGAGAATAGACAACTTAGAGAGGAGTATGAGTGAAATAATGGAACTGAAGAATACAATACAGGAACTCCGAGAAGTATGAATAGGTTTAAACACTCGAATTGTTCAAGCAGAAGAAGGGATATCAGAGGTCAAAGTCCAACTTAATGAAATAAAACGTGAAGAAAAGATTAGAGAAAAAAGGATAAAAAGGAATGAGCAAAGTCTCCAAGAAATGTGGGACTATGTGAAAAGACCAAATTTACGTTTGATAGATGTACCTGAATGCGACGAAGAGAATGAATCCAAGCTGGAAAATACCCTTCAGGATATTATTCAGGAAAATTTTCCTAAACTAGCAAAGCAGGTCAACATTCAACCCCAGGTAATACAGAGAACACCACAAAGATATTCCTCAAGAAGAGCAACCCCAAGGCACATAATCGTTAGATTCACCAGGGTTGAAACGAAGGAGAAAATACTAAGGGCAGCCAGAGAGAGAGGTCAGGTTACCCACAAAGGCAAGCCTATCAGACTTACAGCAGATCTCTCAGCAGAAACTCTACAAGCCAGAAGAGAGTGGGGGCCAATA